GGCTTTATATTACTTGGCTATTTTATACACCCACCAGTATCTTCCTATAAAGCAAATATTTCCCTAATTCCCCAGATTCAGTTCCACCGTTTGGCCACTCAGCATAATGACAGCTGAAGTAACAACGCTCCATACAGACTCCAGATAAGTCTGCTCTCCAAGTACAAATATGTTGCAGCCTCATTCTCCTAAGATCACTTAGAAATTCTCCTTGTCCATCTGAAGATGCTAATAAAATTTAGAAATGATTTTAGAATTCTGCAGCAGTAAATAAACCACCAGGTTTTAAGGGACCAAATCCTTCCCACAAGAATTTAGAAATTTGTTCATTAAATGATCGGAAAGCCTAAAGCCTCTCCAGTTCTCTACAATCAGCTAATTTTTCTCTACTCCTATGCTCCATCCCCAATTAACTCCTTGCCCAGCTCCAAACCCCCTCACCCAGTCCCCAACTGCAGGGCTCTGGGAGGAAGCCTGTCCTAAGCTGGTGAGCAAACCAGCTCATCTTATCCACAGAGCTAAATATTTCATAGCTCAAGTTTACCTGGGCCTCCTGAAGTCTCCCCAGCTCTGGAGTGAAAGAAAAGCTGTCCAGAAGAGGCACCGACAAGTGTGTGCTAACTCTTAGCAATGCCAGAAACTCTCCAACACAGAATGCTGAAACTTTTTGTTCTTGTTGTTTTATATTCTTTGCATTATTCAATTTGTAAGTTTGTGCTAAATGGTTCAGACATGGGAAAGCTATGATGTACCCATATTTAATGCCAGGTACACCCTTGGCTCTTAGGTGTTTGTCCTCAACTGGATTCGCCATTACAATTGAGGTCCCCCATGGAATAGAGGGGCTGAGAAGGGACCCTGCTGCAAGGGAGAGACTTGATAGGAGCGCAAGAAGATGTCTGAGCACGCTTATCATGAGTGATGGCGCTGTGGGCTCAGATCCTAACTGTGGACTGAGCCGAGACACAGATAAAAGAAACAACACAAACCCAAGAATCCCTCAAAATTACCACCTTTAAATAGTCCCCGAGGATAACAATAGGCAAACAAATATAATATGAAAACCTATGATTATTATATACTGTATCTATCCATTCATCCAGCCCATTTCATTTTACCCATTTATTGAGCATCTATAGAGCAAAGCTTTGCTGGATTGTAGAGACTACTATGATGAATTACTTGCCTATAATCTAATTAGGTAAAGATTTATATGTCCATAAATAAATTATGAAAGGAAAACAGAAAGGGCAGGCTTTCAAGTGACAAGAGAGGAATACAGTACCAAGTGCTATCGGATTTTAAAAAAGAAAGAACAATCATAATTGGTTAAGGAGAAATATAAGAAAACACGAAGGGAATAAAAAGCCCAAAACTCAGCCAGGCGCGGTGGCTCACACCGGTAATCGCAGTACTTTGGTAGGCCGAGGCGGGCAGATCATGAGGTCAGGAGATCGAGACCATCTTGGTGAAACCCCGTCTCTACTAAAAATACAAAAAATTAGCTGGGCATGGTGGTGTGCAACTGTACTCCCAGCTACTCAGGAGGCTGAGGCCAGAGAATCGCTTGACCCCAGGAGGCAGAGGTTGCAGTGAGCTGAGATCATGCCACTGCACTCCAGTCTGGGTGACAGAGCAAGACTCTGTCTCAGGAAAAAAAAAAAACAAAAAACAAAAAATGCCGAAAACTCAGAAGGAAACTCCAGCAGGAAAGATGTGATCACGCACCAAGCTGGTGTCAGTGAGATGGAAAGGAGCGGCATGGGAAGACTGAAGAGGCAGTGGTGCAGGCAACAGGCCGCAGAGCATTTACTTCTGAGGAATGAAACATGGTTTGGGCATCCTGAGGGATAACCGTGAGAGCTGGGAAAGTGTGAGCAGAGACCACCAGTTTGGGAGCATCCAAGTCCAAATAGCCACCCCACTGGGCAGCTGGGGGGACCTCTTCCTCCGGGCTTTGTTAATGTAGAATATTAAGGAGTGCTTATGCTCTTGTGCATCAATATCCTGTTTTCCTCCTCACCCCCAGGAATTTCCTGAAACAGAGGGAAACCTCTGGTTCCAGCAGCAGAAACAGAAAAGCAACACACCTGGTTCCTCATGTTACACTAAAGGTTTTCCCACACACATGCTGCTCCCTCAGAAAATTATCATTCTGATCCATCATACGTTGTAGGAGGGTCTTATCCTCATTTATATCCTTATTATGATAAATGAGTTCCAAGTTCTAAATATCTGTCTTACCAGTAAGTTTTAGAATACAACCACACTTTGGGAAGCTGTGGGGCAGACTACATGAGAGTGAAAGCAGTCTCATGTCCCTGCTCCAGATTCCAGACATTTCATTATCTCAGGACAGAAAATCTGAAGGCATGGAGCTCATAAATGAATGAGGACCTTGTTTGTAAGCCTCGATGACCATTTTCCCATGGAGTGTGTTTCTAAGAGTCAATAGCCTAATGACTGGGCTTTTCTAGGGAAAGGAGGTACTGTAGGTCCTTGTTTGTAAATAAATGGAATGAAGGCAATTGATCACATACACCAGAGCCTACATGGAATACCATAAATTAAGCAGTGCTCTTTCTCCAATGAGTTTGCAAGTGCCTAGAAGCAGCAGGGCTGCTTCTGAACTTCCTTCCAGGCATTTGGTGTTAGCCTAGAGTAGCACATGGATCCCTGTGGATTAAAGGACAAAACCAGGAGGGATGCTGGCTTCCATCATCCCTTTCCCTTTCGCCCTCTCCTGATTCTATAAATCACTTCTGGCAGGTAGCTGGGAAGCAGCTGCGAATGACAGGTTTGCTCTGGAGCACAGGAAGCCACCTTTTAACCCGCCTGCTGTTGTTTGTCTCTCAAAACGTGACAAAGGAACAGATGTAAGCAACATGACAACTGTTGAGAGGATCTGCTCGGAGCACTATAGGAAGCCTGTTTGGAGCCACATCACACCAGCCAATCCAAGGAGGAAGAACTGAGTTCATTTCCTGAAACCCCCTCTGCACACTCTTGTTCAAGTCAGGTTGGGTCAGCAGTGCTCAGGCTACGCACCACGCACACCCCTGCTTCCACAATTGCCCCTATGGCTCCCAGGTCTCGAAGCCCCTTCCTAAGCCCCATTCAAATGCAACTGAGAAGTTCAGTCCAGCCTTGCCCCCGGCGAGGACTTCTTTGACCCCATGTCTCTCCCTCATCTCTCAACCAGACTACTTTTCACAGTCTGTAAGCCTCTCATGGGCCAACCTCATTTCTGCAAACCACCTTGTGATCTCCAACTCTTTGAGGGTTGGAGCCATGGCTTACATATCTTTGTATTCCCAAAGTAATGGTTTTTCAAATCACCAGTTGCAAACCATGAGTGCAATGGGAAACAAGTATAATGGGTTGCACCCAATATATTAAAACTAGCTTACACAAGTCACTCACTCCTGGGACAACTGGGGAACTATGAAGTGAATATTAGATGATATTATGAAATTCTTATTAATTTTCTAAGGGATAGTCATTGTGGTGTGTTTATGCAGGAAAATGCCTTATTTCTTTTAAAAATTATTTTTATTAGACTTTATTTTTTGGAGTAGTTTTAGTTTCACAGCAAAACTGAGTGGAAAGTAGAGATTTCCTCTATCCCCACACATGCACAGTCCTCTACTATCAACATCCCCACCACGGTGGTACATTTGTGACAATCGATGAAATACGCTGACACATCACTGTCACCCAAAGGCTAGGGTTTACATCAGGATTCAGGTGTCATACATTCTGTCGATTTGGACAAATGCAGAATGACATGCATCTGCCATTACAGTAACATACAGAGTAGTCTCACTGCCCTGAAATTCTTTTGTGAACTTAAGGAGATACATGCTAAAGTATGAGAGGTGACTTACTTTCAAATGGATCAACAACAAAAATATTTGTTTGTGTATAAGCACACATACTTGCACAGATCAAGCAACTGTGCCCAAATGTTCAACTGCTGAATGTTAGGTGTAGGGTATGCAGGCATTCGCTGAACTATTCTTTACATTTTTGTGTGTTTGAAAAGTTTTATAATAAAAAATGGAAGAAAATGAAACAAAAAAATCAAAATGCAGAGGATGAAATATGATTTGGTTTAGGTATCTACTGACATGTGTCCTGGGTCACAACATACATTTATTTCTTATTGTGGGTAAAGGCCCAGAGTTTGAAAGTGCCATCCAGGCTGCATGTGGTGGCTCACACTTGTAAACCTGTAATCCCAGCACTTTGGGAGGCAGAAGTGGGAGGACTGCTTGAGCCCAGGAGTTCAAGACCAACGTGGGCAACACAGCAAAACCCCATCTTTGCAGGAAAAAAAAAAGGAAGAAAATGCTGCCCAGTGTAACTTGCTGCTCTAAGCACACAGCAGGCAGGCAATGATATATTTGTTAATTAACTTCTAGAAGCACAAGATTTAACTGAAGCAGCAAGCTGAGAAATCATTGTTTCCAGTTACATCCCATTAACTCGAGCTGTGTCAACACAGCTAAGCCTTTTCTTGCCTTAACACAACTTGGGTCTAACCTTAACTCAGCCTTCAGGCCTTTCTTATTAGATGTTTAATTACTCATCAGGAAAGATACTGCTGGTTTCCCCTTGATGCCAGGGAGGGAAGTGTGTTTACAGAAGACTCCAAGTAGGGTGACCAATTGTCAGGGTTTGCATGGGATTGAGGTTTCCCAGGTTAAGGGACATTTTATGCTAAAACCAGGACAGACTTGGGCAACCCAGGGAAGCTGGTCATCTGAAATCTGAGCGAAAACTTTAAAAGAACCTTGGACAGACCTGGGAGAGCTGACATTGCTGTGCTGTGTGGCAGATGACACCACGGTAGTGTGAGCAACAGGGGCAAACCCAGACCAGAAAAACAGTAATAAGACAAAGATCACTCTGATGCCATCCAAACAGCAACAGCAAATGCCACACTGCAAAGTGTGCCTCATGTCCTTAAACAAAACCTTTCTCTGATTATTGAACAGCTAATCTGGAAAACAAAGGACAAAAGGAAACTTACTGTAAAAACGTCATCATCACCAAGCTCAGCTTCATTATGGATGGTGGAAGATGATGTTGTTGAGCCTAAAAAGACAAAAATGTAATAAAAAGTGTTTCCTAAGAGGATAAATCAAATCCAACCGTTTAAAAAAAGGATATTTAAATAAAACCACATTCTATTACTTTGCATGTGAATTACCAGCAGAAACAAGTTACCTGGGAATTGAGTGCTTTTAATTTACTCTTAATTGGTTCTTGCCAGGATGCTCCCTAAATTAACTTTGCCTGCTGTTGTTCCCTATTAATCTCTCAAACTTCTGCACTGGCCATAGAGAATAAACACACAGAGAGGCACAGTGGAGGAGGCGAGGGGAGAGCCTGACCGCTCCTCTGAGGGGCACGCATCAAGTCCAGCCTCTGTAGTGACCTTCAGGTCCCAGCTGTGTAGTGGGAAAAGCACCAGATGGGGAAGCCCTAAGTGAGACCTGCCACAATCTCACTTAGGCAGTTGCTAAGTACAAACTGGACTTAGCTCCTCTGGTCTTTTCACCTACCAATGAAGGAGTTTTAACTCAATAGCTTGTTTGGTTGTGTCTAGTTCTGAATTGAGATATTCTATTCTAAATCCTAAGCTGTGGGCTCCCTTCTAAGGGCACATCTGTGCAAAGGGGTTTTCTTTTGCAATACCAAGGCATCACTGAGTTTGCTTTGTTTTTCCAAGTCGAAATTAAGGCTCTTGTTGGAAAACTTTCCTTATTCCCTCATGGAACCAATTGGACTTTAGAGTTCAATTTATTTTCTTGTTCACCTTTTTCTTCAATCTAGTATGTGAATCAGGTACAACTGCCCCACTTCCCCCCACCACCCTGTAGAGCAGACAATAATGCATGGATCAACTTAATAGGCCAAAAGAAAGAAGTTCGAGGTCAGCCTGGCCAACATGGTGAAACCCTGTCTCTACTAAAAATACAAAAATTAATTGGGTGTGGTGGTGCATGCCTGTAATTCTAGCTACTGGGGAAGCTGAGGCCTGAGAATCATTTGAACCTGGGAGGTGGAGGTTGCAGTCAGCTGAGATCGTGCCACTGTACTCCAGCCTGGGCGACAGAGTGAGACTCCATCTCAAAAAAAAAAAAGAAAAAATATTTTGCTATTACATAAAATTGAAATTAAAAGAATTGCTCAGAAAGGATGAGAAATATTTAAATTTCCAATGAGAGACCACAGGAGAAAAAAGAACAGTCCCATATTATGTTCTGTGCAACTCCTATTGGTCTTTCATAAATTCTCTCTACTCTGAATTACTCCAATCAACCAATGTTCAAATTTGATAGGAAGAAAAAGCTAGGTAGCATATATACAGAGAAAAAAATTACAAGTAGCAGAATGACATGTTGTGCAATTAAGTCATGGACACAATGTGAACGTCTATCAATAAAATAGGAGGTGCTTTTTCTCTAAACAGGTAAAAGCTATGTTTAATAACATGATATCTGCAGGTGCTGCAGTGGAGAATTTCTGCATTTGCATCTGTGGACTCTAGCCAAGCCCACCATGAGAACTGACTGCCCAAGTTCTCATGGACTGCCTCCAGGCCATGATCAGATGTAACACAATGCCTGCTACTCACCGATAGACCAATGCCTAAACCAAACCAGGGCTCCAGAGGTCTCAGATCCCTTTCCTTTTCAGTGGCAGCCGTACACCCTGGGCCTCTGATTACAGGAGGACAGTGGGTAGGCCAGGAGCCTTCTGGGCCAGCCAGAATCCGTTCTCTACTTCTGAGCCAGACAGACCAGACCAGAGCCATTTCAATAGTCAGGACAAGGTGAAAGCAGTAAAAAATACATGCACATGGAAATCCAGAACCTGCCTCTTTGTTTTTTCACAGGAGAGTCTAGAAATCAATTGGGATTACTCCTTACTCTGAAATCCATCTCCTTTTCCCTGCATTGTCACTTTAATTACTCTCCTTGGATGTTCCAAAGGTTTTGGCATCTACTGACCTGGCCCCAAACCCTCCCGCAAATAAACCACAAATATATTATGGCAGACTATTGAAATTAAAAAGAATTTGGAACATTTCCATAGTCCCACTAAGAATGCAGCGACAAGTTCAATACCTTCTATAAGGTCTTCGATTGCTTTCCTTACTCCCCTGTCAAAGGCTCGGGCATCAGCAGGGCTTTGGAAAGTAAGTCCAAACTTCCTATTATCGACCTTCCAATGATGAAACGTTGGATTGGCTTTGGTGTAGACCAAGTCCTTTCTTACATAGCATTCCAATACCACCTGAAGGATGGAAACACAGGCTGGTTACTAGTGGAACAGCCATGATGAAGTCTGGTTAGAAGTCTAATTAGGAACCATCACTGGTGGCAACTACCAAAACCCCTCTGTCCCCTGCCTTTGCGTATCTGTGAGTCTTTCCAACTGGAAAGAAGGTTTTGCTTGGCTGCTGACCATCTGATCTTTGCTGCTCCCTGCCCCTTGGCTTTGGTGGTCCCCACTGTCCTGGCTGTACTCCTTCACCATGCTCTCTTCATCACACTCATTCCTCTTCCTTCTGGCCCCTGGCTGGCAGGGCACTAAGCTGATGCCCAAGTCTTGGGTGTTTATTCCAGATTACTGCTTTCATGTTGGGGGTCTTTGTATTGATGGCTGTCTAGCTTCCCTCCCCTGATGCCCCAAATTCCAAAAGTGGAAAAATTAACTTTACTCTAAAATTTCTCCTCTCCCAACTTTTGGCAATGCCAATTCCTCTCGGCTCATTTTCTCTGGCTCAACGTCTCTGCGGTCATCTTTGCCTCATCTGCCTATTCCCTGTATTATTAATCACCAGGCCCATTTCATTTTTCCTTCAACATCTTTTATATCAATCCCATTTCAGTTGCTGCCATCCTGATCTAGGTCTATTAACTTTATGTTTGGATTAACAGAACCACCTTCAAGTTTCTAGCAATTTAGTCTCAGAACGGGCTTTTACTGAGTTATAACAAGCAGATTGATCTTTTTATCTCTAAGATGGAAGGAACACTAATGTTATCAATGAGAACAAGAACATGCTCTGAAAACACTGAATAAATGAGAAATCTAACAGGGTCACACTCATTGCCCAGTATATCTTCCCCAACAAGTTTTATTTTTGTGTGTACTTCCTTCTTGTCAGCTTCATAATTTAGTACTGATTTCAAATTATTCTCTAACAGTTTCATGTATATTAGTCTCATTCCTCTAACTAGACTACAAAAAGTCAAGATGTATTATAAAATAACTCCCTCTGTGTCTAGCACAGTTGATAGGGATATTAGAGTTTATTTATTATAGAAAAGAAACATTGCAATAATTTGAGTGTGAACTTTGTTCTTTATTCATTAAAAAACTCAAACTACTTACAATATTTATTCCTATGGCTTTATTGCAAACACCATCATGATTTTGCTAAGTTTTAATAGCCCTAATCTTGTTCTGGCAAAGATCTGCATTTGCCACAATGTGATCTTATTTAGACTAAATGAAGGACAAGAATAAAGGCTTGCCTAAATTAGCATACATGTAAGTCAGAAAATATCTTTAAATAAGTATAAATTCTAAGAATAGATTAAAGCAAAAAGAAATGAAGGAGGCTGTGCAGTGGCTTACACCTGTAATCCTAACACTTCTGGGGGCCTGAGGCAAGAGGATCACTTGAGCCCAGGAGTTTGAGACCAGTCTGGGCAACATGGCAGGACCCTGTCTCTACCTAAAATACAAAAATTAGCTGGGTGTGGTGGCGCATGCCCATAGTCCCCACTACTCAGAAGGCTGAGATGGGAGGATTGCTTAAGCCTGGGAGGTTGAGGCTGCAGTGAGCTGAGAAGGTGCGCTGCTGCACTCCAGCCCAGGTGGCAGAGTAAGACCCTGTCTCAACAAAAAGAAAGGACAAATGAAAAATACACTAAGGGTTGTCTAATGAATGTTCCCTAATTTAATAAATAAATGAGAATAATATTCAAATTGGTATACCAAATAGTAGTTCCAAGCAGTCAACTCTATTACATTGTATTGAGATTGGACAACAGCCCCCTCCCATAATTCTATTTATGATTAAATTGCTTATTATGGCCATTTCCTCCTAAGAATAGCATAATGATTAAATGTCAGCCCAGCCCCATTCCAAATCGGAAAAATCCAAATAATCAAGAATTTAACTAACAAATGTTATCTATTTTAGAATTTAATAGTCTCCATTCAAAGTCTCAAAATAAACTTTCTGTATTATAAAAACAAAGACTCCTAGTTTCTCCATATTTTTGGGGTGAAAAAATTAAGTCTTTGGTTGACATTTTCCAACTTTGAAATTATTCCAAAGCTATATATTCTTACACAAGTTTAAGTAAAATAAGTTCAGTCACCTAAATTAAGTAGGGGGGGGATCAGATACCATCTCTTTATGTCTTCTGGAGCAAAAGAGTATCATATGTATCTAAGTGTAAAGACAAAAATGAAAAAGTTTAGATGCTTCAATCTTCCCAACAGATATAAACTCTCTGGTGAAGTTTTGGCACACACACAATTAGATACTAACTTAAAACTTGAGAAAGGTTTTAAAAAATACCTGTTTAAATAAGATGCATAAGGAGAAAAAAAGTGATTATATTCTTGTTGGAGACTTAAAAAAACTACACAAGAAATACATGTTGTGAAAGATTTAAGTATTAGATGAAGACATGAAGACTCCATTCCCACTCACTCACCCTCCACCATCAACATCTCTGTGTCGAGTTCCCCACTGTCAGTAGAGTGGTCACAATCCCAGTTTCCATTTTGTGGCTTCTTTATATAAACACACATAAGTTTGTGTGTAAGTGTAACTGCGTTTAAACGTAGCCACACCTATAAGGTGTTTTTCAACTTGCTTTTTATTTTCCTTAAAAATATGTCATAGAGATCCACGAGAGTAAAAATAACTGTTTAATTCCTCCATGTGGTTGTATTAGATTTATTCAACCATTCTCCATACCAACAGGCATTTATAACAATGAGAACTGTCACCTTGAAGACAATGCTGCAATTTATATCCTTATATATTTCAAGTATAAATTAGAACTCTAGACAGCTTCCTCGTACTTAAAGACTTTTCTAATGAGTCAGTGGCAATATTAAGATGTGCAGTTTTTTGAGGCCGGATGAGGTGGCTCATGCCTGTAATCCCA